ATCATCTTTCAAAACAATACAGAAGGAATGCGTAAAACTAAAGAGAACTCAAGTTAGAACAAGAAGTAGTAAACCTCAAAAGTCACATGGAAATAAATATGGTAGAACAGTATAAATGGGAGTTTGAAGGAGGAGCCATTCAGGATATAATTGAAAAATTAAAAGAAGTCAGTCTGTTTTTACAGGCAGAAGCAGCAGCTCGAGAAAACTTAGAGCAGTTAAGAGAGGGTAATTATGGTGTAGAATATAAGAAGTCAGCTGGAATTCAGAATTAAAGATCAGGGGGATCAGCTGTTGTCATAATGGCTATGTTGCTGGACTCCCATGTAGTCAACTACGGTTGGAGTCTCGGACTCGGTGGCTTAAACTCATGCTGGGTGCATGTGTGTGCCCAAGATCCCGAGAGGAAAATGGAGGAGAAGGGATTGCAGTGTGGCCATTCCCCCTGGGGGGTATTTCTCACTTTCTGTCTCTGTCTTTCTGGCAAGCGCACATGCCCTATAGCAAAAACCTCTCCAAAAATAAAGAATTAAAGATCAGGAAATCCAAACTCTTCAAAATAAGAACTTCTCAAGAGGATTCTAATCAAACAATTGGAAAAATATAAGCAAGGCTATCTAGAAGAATCGCAAATTAGAAACTCATTATCAGATAAACTTAGCAAGACTAATGAGAAGTTAGCAGAAGTCAGTGCCAAACTTCAGAGAAACAGCAGTCTCATTACTAGATCAGTCCTAGAGTCAGCTCAGAGAAACAGCATTCTCATTACTAGATCAGTCCTAGAGTCAGCTCATACTGGAAATCTTCATAATAGTTTGTACACAACAGACATCTTATTTCAAGAGAAACCTCAGTGATGATGCCTACCTCAGTCTCACAGCCTTCAAATAATACCTAGGGAGCTACTTGTTCAAGGGTAGTTAAATGCCCAGAGAGACCTTGTACTATACAAACCTGACACCTTCTCACATGGCCCCAGCATCATGGAACCAGTGTGTTACCACTGCACTCCTGAGGCTAGCTGAAAGAAGAAATGTTTTATGGAGCAATTAGGAAGAGAAATGATGTTGTTAGAGAAATATTTTGAACAGGTAAAGAATGAGGACTGACCGTAGCAGGCACATATAATCTAGATAGAAAATGCCCCATCTGAGTAAGCCATGTGACAATGTAATGACTTGCATCACTGTTTTTTTAGATACATCGTTTTCACTGGAAAGAACTTCTGAAAGAGGAAGCATTGCTAATAGGTTTCATAGCTTAAGAATGTTTTTAAACCCTGTCATTGAAGATTGTATTTTTTTTTAGTTTTTTGAAAAGAATTGTTTTATTTAACTTTATTTATTTTAATTTGACCAGAGAGGGACAGAGAGAGAGAGGGAAAGCGAGAAAGCAAGCCACCAGGTCCGGGACTTGAACCACGGTTAGCTATGTGAGAATCCCGTGCCTTTAACCACTACGCCACCTGCTGGCCCTGAAGATTGTATTTTCTTATGTCACATAAATATTCTATTTGTTATAATACAGAAAAAAGATTACCAAGTAAATGGTTGTTCCTAAGAGAGCTAAGTGACATTGTTCAAAAATGGTGTTTGTAGTAATAATACTGTATTTTGACCGTGTTTTAATTAATTGAGCAAATTGAGAGTGAACAGTTGTATTCGTGGCTCTATTTGATGACCTAATGATAACATCAAGTCTTTGATTGGTCGGCAGATGTTTACCATTTCTGGCTGAGTCATTTGGCTCATGCAGTTGAAAAGACAAAGAACTCATTGAAGTCATTATATCTTTCATTAAATGTTAATAGTTCAGACACAGTTCCTCAGGTGTGTTAATATATCACAAGCTGGGTGAACAAAATCATGTTTGGAGAATGTAGTTTATTGTAGTTAATGCTTTTCTTGCTCCATACATTTTTAGAATTCTTTTGGAATTTTCTATATGAGTACGTATGATGATTCCTTTGAGTATTCTCAACTTTAATTCGTTTAGAGTGGATTTACAAACTAAGTTGTGGAATTTGTAGTCCAGGATTAAGTGTGACTGCTAAATGATGAAAGTAGTTTATAAATTTTGAATTTTTGTGTGTCTTTTTTTCTACCTTTGAAAGCATGTTATTAAAAATAAGTATTTGGGCTTGGTAATAGATTACTTACAATACTAATCCTCTTCTGATATCTGTAATCTTTGTTAAAAATACATTCTTACACTTTTTTTTTTCTTCAAAGTTTAAGTTATCAAAGGGCAGGTGTTCTCCTTTGAGGGACAGAAACTCAGAGAGACAAAGCACCCCCTGGAGGTGGGTGCCTATACCACACTCTCTTCTCTTCCATTTCTCTATCCTACTGGGGTTAGGGGCGTGTATGCTCATGTGCCTACAATGGTTTTCAAGCTTCTTGAGCTAGGATTCAATCATGGTTGGTCTTGTGGGACCTGGTGTCCCTTAACCACCAGACTATGCAGCCAGCCCTGCACCCTCACTCTTAATTTAAAAAACAAACAAGTAAACAAAACAGTGCATTAAAGTTACAAAAGTACTGAACTAAAATATGATGGTATATATTTTTTAAGTGTGTGTAGCTTACTTCCACAAAGGAAAATGAAGGGGCAATTGTGGTACAGTGGAAGAACATGATGCTCTGAGGCATGCCAGGTAGGAAGGAGCTAGAGCCCTCCCTGAGTGTGCTAGAAACCTGTGTGCCTGCGATCTGGACTTCTGAGGCCGGGGTGGGAGATGGATTTCATCGACAGTGCCCTTTCAGGGGTGCTGTCTATCTCACTTTCTCCTGGAATAAATATTTTAAAAAGAATTTTATATTTTTATGTTTTACATTTAGTTTTGTAATCTATTTTGAGTTAACTTGTGTGAAAATATAAAGTCAATATCTAGATCCTGTTTTTTCATTTTCTTTGCCCTGTGGATGTCCAGCAGTTCTAAACTTTGAGGGGGGAAAAAAAAAAGAGAGAGAGAGAGCCTGGACTTTAAACAAATTATGATATTTGGTCCTGAGTTTCTTTTTTCTTATTTACTTTACATTTGTTATAGGAAATGTGTGATCACCAGAGAGAGGCAAGGAAAATATCTGGGTCCAAGAATTCAAACTGCAGTCAGCCATGGGGAAATCCAGCGCTTTAATCACTGTACTTCCTGCTTGCCCTGGTCCCAACTTTCTTGCCTACAAAAGGCAGAATGGGGTCATTTCTATGATTTTATCTGCACTTTGTTGCATCCTGGACATATTTATTTTCATGAACAAAGCACAAGGTCACTTAAATTTTCTCTTGTTTTTTTTTTCCTGAACATTTTCTCAGAGGCCACATGTACTTACCAGAAAGAAAGATTTTTTTTTTTCCTTAACATTTTCCCAGAGGCCACATGTACTTACCAGAAAGAAAGAAATAGAAGAGTGAGAGGGAAGGAGAAAGCACTGAGGTGTGACTGTGTCCTGATGATTTCTCAATTTCTCCATCAGGACAGGATTTTGAGCATGTAGGCATACATTCCTAGCTTGGGTTTTGTTTGTTTGTTTGTTTGTTTTTTGTTTTTTGTTTCCTTAACATTTTCCCAGAGGCCACATGTACTTACCAGAAAGAAAGAAATAGAAGAGTGAGAGGGAAGGAGAAAGCACTGAGGTGTGACTGTGTCCTGATGATTTCTCAATTTCTCCATCAGGACAGGATTTTGAGCATGTAGGCATACATTCCTAGCTTGGGTTTTGTTTGTTTGTTTGTTTGTTTTTTGTTTTTTGTTTTTTTGAGGAGCAGATTTTTGCTATAGGGAATATGCACTTGCCAGAGGGACAGAGAAAGATAGAAAATGAGAAATCACCCCTCTCCCCCCAGGGGGAGTTGGCCATGCTGCAATCCCTTCTTTATTCTCTTGGGATTTTGGACACACACACACACACACACACACACACACACTCACACACTCACACACTCACACACACCCACACCACGCCCGAGCTTCAAGCCACTGGGTCTGGGACTTGAACCGTGGTCAACCACATAGGAGTCTGGGGAAATAACCATTATGCCATCTGCTGGTCCTGTTGTTTTCCAAGCCATTGGGGCCAGGATTTGAACCTCCTGATCAGACATGTGGAATCCAGCTTCCTTAATCACCAGGTCATGTTGCTGGCTCCCTACATTTTCTCTTATGTTGTCTTCTAAGAGTTTTATATTTTTATGTTCTACATTTAGCTTTGTGATCTATTTTGAGTTAACTTGTGTGGAAACTATGAAGTCAATATCTAGCTCCTGTGTTTTCTTTTTCTTTGCCCTGTGGATGTCCAGCCGTTCTAACACCTTGTGTCGATAGAACTATCCTTTCCCTCACTGAATTCTCTCTGTTCCTTTGTTCCAGATCTGTTCATGCTATTTGTGTGAGTCTTTCTGTTCTCTCTATTCTCTTCCATTCATCTATTTTGTCTATTTAAGACTGGAGACATCATCTCAAGAAAAAAAGGAGGGACCAGCAGTTAGCAGAATGGCAGTATTACTGGACTCCCATGTAGTCGTCTGCGGTTCAAGTCCCGGACCTGGTGGCTTAAACTCACACCAGGCGCGTGTGCGTGCATGTCCGAGATCCCAAGAGGAGAAAGGAGGAGAAGGGATTGTGGCATGGCCATCCCCCCTGGGGGGCGATTTTTCACTTTCTGTCTTTCTGTCTCTCTCTGTCTTTCTGGCAAGCACACATACCCTATAGCAAAAAAAACTCTTCAAACAAACAAAAAAAAAAAAGGAAAGTTTACTGAGGAAAAAAGAGTGTCTAGGGATCTGAAACCGGAAGTGCCCCAGCCCACCCTCCTTTTACGGGTAATCAAGCTGTTCTGGGAGACTGTATGTGCGACTGACAGTAGGGGAGTTAGGCTTAGTGTGCTAAGCATGGAACATGTGGTGGGTCTTTCTGATCCATCTCTAGGGAGTTAGATTCACTTTGGGTCCCAGTACTCGCTCTGGGTCTTTACCTGCTACTTCCTAGGTCAGTGTGACCTCACAGTAGCCGCACCTGGAGTGGGGGCTCTTGTCAAGACCGATTCTGCAGAAGTGCAGCCTTGGCTCCTGATCAGGCCTGGAGCGGTACCAGATGGTGCTCAGGACCGTCTCACTGCATGGGACCTTACAACAGGCTGTCTCTTAATCTGAAGTAGTGGGGATCAAAAGCGTTTCAGATACTGAATTTTCTCAGATTTTGGGATGGTTGTATGAACTTGATAAGCTATCTTGGGGATGAGACTCAAGTCTAAACACGAAATTCAGTTGTGTTTCATATACCCCTTACATATGTAGCCTGATAATTTTCGGTACAGTTTTTTCATATTGCAGTATTTTGACCTCTGTCGTGAGGTCAGGTGTGGTGTTTTCCACTTATGGCATCCTGTCAGTGTCCTCATGGAGGATGTTCGGCTTCACCGTCTTGATCACGGTGGTTCATAGTAAGGCCTGAGACCAGGAAGTACAAGCTCTCCAGCTTTATTCTTCAGTATTGTGCTGGCTCTTCTAGGTCTTTTGCCTTTCCATATAAACTGAGAACCAGCGTGTTGGTATATACAAGTACCTTGCCACGGGTTTTGACTAGATTTCATTGAACCTGTAAATCAAGTTAGGAAAAACTGACACTTAGCTGAAGAGGTATGTTTTGCCATAGGATGTGTGCACTCACTGGAGAGAGACAGACACAGTGAAACAGAGAGTGAGAAATCATCATCCTTCCCCTTCCAGGGGCTCTTCCTTTCTTCTTCCGGTATTTCAAACACACACGCACATGTGCCTGGCATGATTTTCAAGCCACCAGGTCTGGGACTTGAACCATTGTCAGCCATGTGGGAGTTCAGCACCTTACCTGCTGGCCCCAGTTATTGAGGGTTTTTTTGTTTTTTTTGTTGTTTTTTGTTTTGTTTTGTTTTGTTTAGAGATTTTTGCTATGTGCTCACCGGAGACACAGAGACAGAGAAAGTGCAAAATGACACCCCCACTCCCAGGAGGGATGGTCACACTATCTCTTCTCCTCCATTCTCAGGATTTTGAGCATGCATACACACACGCTCGGCATGAGTTTAAAGCCACTCGGTTCAGGACATGAACCATGGTTAGCCATGTGGGAGCCCAGCTGTTGAGTTTGAAGTTTCAGACCCAGTCTGTCACCCAGCGTGTCTGAACTATTAGGCCTCCTTAGTCTCCTTTAATCTTGTTGGCTCTCTCTTTTATCTTTGTCATTGATATCTTTGAAGGTCACTGTGTTATATAGACTGTTCTTTAATCTGTTGTGTTTTTTTCCCAATAGCTTCCTCTTGATGAGATTCAAGTTCCATAAAGTGATGATTTGTCCTTACAGAGATGCTACTATAGCATCAGAAGACAAATGATGTCAGTTTATACCCTTCAGTCTATTTTTTTCTTTTTTGCCACAAAGCACCTGTGTTAGCCTGAGAGACAGAGAGGGAGAAAGCAAGTACCCACAAGGGGCATGGTCATACTGGAGTCTCTTCTCCATTCCTCTACCCTTACAGGACTTTGGGCACACGTGCTCATGTACCTGGCATGTTTTTCAAACCACCAGGGTTGGGATTTAAACTGTGGTTAACCATGTGGGATCCAGCTCCCTTAACCATTAGGCCACAGGCTGGCCCATTGTGTCTTTTTTTTCCTAACTACTTATTGAACAGATAGATCTTTAACCAATTTGGTGCATAGTCTTGCAGAGTTTTTCAATGCAATTATGAAGTACACTTTTAAACATATACACACATGTACTGTAGCTATTCACAAAAAATTAATAGGTTTTTTGTTTTTTTTTTTAAGATGCAGTTCAAATTTATTTTTTTTTTATCATCATATCTTCTTCATATTACATTGGATTACATATAACTTTACTGTGCTGTGCATTGTTTCTTCAAAAGGGAATGCCATGCACCCCTCCCTCTCTTTCTCTGTATGTCTCTCTCTGGTCAAATTAAAAAATAAATAAATAATTAAATAAAAAATTATTCTTTTTAAAAAATAGGTATTTGAAGAAAGAGTTGTTTGCAAACAAAGTACCTGTTTTTCTGATTCACAGGTGTAAAGAAAGTTTTGCAGAGACACAGACTATCAGGAAATTGCCACATGGTTACATTTCAACTTGAATTTCAGATTCTGGAAATTCAGGTAAATTGAGGAACCTGCCATGATAAAACAGATTGTTCTGCCGTGAAATACAGTTTCTACCCCCAAGCCTCCAGCAGCGGCTGAGATGAGGAGGCCCCCCTCAGCACATTTGTGGAATCATCCACAGTTTCTAAGCACAGACCTGGCTCCGTATCACAGTGCAGACACACTGCCCGAGCAATACCGGGCTCATGTGTAAGGTCACGAGTTCAGTTCCCCAGTCGGCATGTACAGTCCAGAGGCGCACAGCTGTGATCCTGGTGAGTTCAGCTCCCCAGTCGGCATGTACAGTCCAGAGGTGCACAGCTGTGATCCTGGCTGGGAGGGCAGGTACAGGGGTTTGCTACACAGGGTAGGGTTGAGGTCCTTTATTACAGAGCCAGTAGTGGGATACCCCTGGGACCCAGTTAATGTCCCAGAGTTTTTGGAAGCACTGCTGAATGCCCTTGGTGTGAGAGCTCTAGTGAATGCCCTGGGTGTGAGCCCTGGGTGTGAGAGCTCTAAGTGAATGCCTCGGGTGTGAGCCTTGGGTTTGGGCACATTGCTGGACACCCTGGGTGTTAGTCCTGGGCTGGGAGCATTGCTGGATACCCAGGGTGTTAGCCCTGGATTTGGGAGTGTTGCTGGACACCCCAGGTGTTAGCCCTAGATTTGGGAGTGTTGCTGGAAGCCCCAGGTGTTAGCCCTGGGTGTGAGAGCTCTAAGTGAATGCCTCGGGTGTGAGCCCTGGGTTTGGGAGCTCTGCTGGACACCCCGGGTGTTAGCGATATGCCAGTCATTTAGTAGTTTTCTATTGCTACTTAACCAGTTTCTGAAATCTTTAACATCTTAAAACAAAAAATGTTCATTATTCCACCAATTTTTTGTGGATCAGGAATCTGGGAGCAAGTCAGTTGATTGTCCTTTCTCAGGGCCTCATGAGGCTGTTGTCGTCTGGGACTGTGGCCATCTGAGGCTGCGTGGGGCTAGATGACCCTGAAAATTGTACTGGACTGCTAAGACACAACACAGGGAGGAAGACACCTTTGGCCAGTACACCCACGTTCAGTCAGGAAGTAGAGAAAGGAAGCAGGCAGGATGTAGCATGCAGCCGTCTGGCCAGGGTTGGGCAGGGCTGGGCCCAGAGAACCTTTGGAGTCTGGCTTCCAGAACAGAAGAGTAGGATTCAGGCATAATCTGAGAACTGACTAAAGCTGGGGACATTCTTGAATGGCAGAAAGCACTTTTAACCCACTGTTCTTGTTGGAGGCCCATCAGACAAAGCAGAGGAGCAGAACAGAACAGGGATGGATACAGGCTGCTTGTGGGTGTGCAGGGCCAGGTGCTGAGATTACTCATTCTCCCTATCATCCTTGTCATTAGTATCCTCAGCCACAAAACAGCCCCAAGTCATCCCATTTTATGTGGGGCAGGAGTCAGGTAAGGAGCCAGGACCCTGCTTATTTGAGTACCAGATAGTTAGGGGGCATTCTATCTAGTCCTGAAGACTGGGTCCAGGTATATAGAAGTGGGCAGTTTCTCCTCCTCGGAGTCTGAAGCCCCTGTAGACACCTCTGGGCCTGGCATAACGAGGGTAGGTTGGAGATATTGAGGTCTCCTCACTGAGGGTAGAGCCCCTGGCTTGCACTAACCTTTCAGCACTGCCAAGGTGGCCAAAAAAAGTGCACAGTGTGGCCTTGCCGAGGCACCAGGGCAGGGAATGCATTCAGTTCAGCAGTTTTGCATGACAGATTGAGGGTGGTGAGAGGTCATACGGGAGGTACACTGCTCGGAGTGGTCCGCAGACTTTGGGGCTATGCACGTCAGATCATCCTGCATGGCCACACAGATCCTCTGCAGAGGTCTGAAGCAGAGTGTGGACTCACACTGATGATAGACTTGGGCTGGACAGCCTGTGCCAGGGTCTCAGGCTCTTCCTTTGGGTGGCCCAGAGATGTGGTCCCATCATAACAGACACCATAGTCTGACCAGCTGCTTTTTCGTTGTGACTAACGTGATATTGACCTCGGTGTGATGAGACAACTGAATGCTCTCCTGCACCCTGGCATCCACTGATGGGCAGGGCTTATGACGTGCGGCAGGTGGACAGAGTCATCCTTGGAAGTGCAGCTCCATCTTGGAGACTGCCTACTCTCCAGCTCATACACTGGCCAAGAAGCTGCCCGGGGCAGCCAGCAGCATCCATTTTCTGTAGGTGTTCATCTGTTTCACAGCTGCTCCATGGTTATCTGCAGAGGACCTATGCTCCTCTTGCCCTCAGGGGGCTTGTTGGTGTGAACTAGGTGCTCTGTGGGGCCGATGTACCTGGACAGGCTGTACCCAGAGGTCAGCCTGTGTGCTCACTGGTGCACTGTGGCCTGAGAGAACCTGGACTGTAGTGTTCAGTTTCTGTCACAATAGCTACTCTGATCACCCGAAGCCCCTGATAGACAGGCCAAGGCCAAGCCCACAGTCGGGACGTTCTCAGTGACATGATCCGCTGCTGAAGAACGGCTGCTGCCTGGCAGAGCCTTCCTGATTTGCACTCTCACTGGACTCCCAGCTCCTGTGTGATTTGCGTTGCTGGCCTGAGCAGCCAACCTGGGACAACAGACAGGCTGGAACCAGTGAGACCAAGCGGCTGGGGTCCCGCCCA